CAGTTAAGAAATGCAATTTTATCATCGCACAAGTAACTACTCCCTCCGTTCCAAAATAGATGACCCAACTTAGTACAAAGTTGGGTTATCTATTTTGGAACGGAAGGAGTATAATCTATATGATTCGGTGAGTCGCTTCGTCCACACCCTCAACGACTTAGTCTCTACATTGCTACTAGCTGCCCAAATGTGACGACTGGATGCTCGTCATAAAATAACTCAACCAAACAAATGGGTCGATTGATTGGTAGAGTATTGTGGAGAGGTCACACCGATCTGACTCGGCGTTTTTGTACGTACGTTGTTAAGGATCGAGACACCCTAACAAATACTGCTACCTTCCAATTAACTAAACGAATACTACCTCTGTACGACTAGCCTACAAAAACTGTCTTATATTTTTCTACAGAGGGAGTACCAGTTAATAAACGCAATCTTGTTCTCTTCAATCATGCAATTTTGAATATATGTAGCAGTACATGGTAACAGCCCAGCTGAAAATACATACATAATGACGCCGTAGTTTGGAGTCTTATGTAGTACAGTTCGTGTGTACAAGCAAGTCTTTGAACACGTACAAGTGTGTAGAATTTAGTCAGAATAGATTAACTAATATGACTGGATGACTTGGGATGCCTAAAAAGGGGGTAATGCTACATCTACAAAGCGTTACATAATTTTTTTACAAAACGATTGTGATTGTTAATAGGGGATGAAATGGTCCATTCCAGTTGAATTCCGAGGGGAGAAGAGGTTTGGTCTGCGAAGTTCAGTAAAACATTTGTAAATTTTTGTAGGTCTAGCATTATTGCTAAAACCATCACTCGGTGAGTGGATCAGGATGTGACCTCATCAGTAGCCATCACAATTTCTTTAGGAAATAATGACTTGGTCACACTTGCATAATAAATTGTTCTGTGACCACTGAAATTAAAAATGATTCCCGCTGGTGAATCATATCTTCCAATCCAACTATACAATATCAATTGTATGCAGTAGGTAAAACCAAGCTGGCATTATTCGCTACACATACGTGACCGCGCATCTGCTGTGCTGGCCGGCCCCTATCATGACGACACAAATTAAATAGACTCGAGGATTTGATTGAAACACTGTCAGGAATAAACACAATCAGGAATAAGCACCACATGGTGTTCATACCTGAGTAGATTTAGCTAAGGTACCTAGCTCTAGTAGTATATATACGTTGAACCTCCTTGCAAACAACAACGAAAAAGATCACAAAAATAGAGAGAAGAAATAAAATCTTAAGAGGATGAGACGTGCGTGTGGTAATACATTGATTCGGTGCTTTCCGCTACGCTGAGAGAAGCCGAGATGTTCTGTCGAGAGACTATTGATCGAATTCGATCGCTAGTTGAAGCTACCTGCTTGCTTGCTTTTCTAGCTAGTTTGCACGTACGTGTTAGGGTGAATCCATCTAGCGTTTCAAAACCAACAAACACATGTATCGATGGATAACACCACATCAGCAGGATCGATGGATGAACCAAAGAGTTTGTATATATCCGGTCAAAGCAGAGTTGGCATCAGATATGCTCATTTCAAACAAGTGATGTATACTGCGAACTATATGAGCCCTAAAAGCAGTCAATATAAGCGTAACTCCTTGTGGTGGAACATTCTCATCAGGGTTTAAGCCATAGACTTTACATGGGTGTTCGTATTTATCTGGATTCATGCCAATATTTTTGGCACTATTGGTTCAGCAGTAGAAACAGGCCTTTCGAGCACGTGGTGTCTATGGAGACTCCATCAATCTTAAGATTTGCCGTGTTATTCTCTCGCATGTGTTCATACGAATATGGGGTGGGTGTGTGTGTGTGTGTGTGTGTGTGTGTGTGTGTGTGTGTGTGTGTGCGCGCGCGCGGCGCGCGCGCACGCGTGCGTTCATAGAGGTACGATGTAAGCATGCGTATGTGAGCGTCTATGTCTGTATTGTGTTCTGAAAAAAAACTAGTTTTAGCATCATGTTTACATAATGCACCCTATTTTCACAATAAGCACAATTCATTTCGGTGAGCAATTTTTCTTTCTAACTGGTGTGCATCTTAAATAAATGAAAGTAATTTTGCATTGAACCTGTTCCAAAATATAATATGTACTTTGATTCCTTAACACAAAGGTTCAACCAGTAGTTACCCTATTAAATATGTAATTTAGTTGCTACAAAATGGCAATTAGTAGTAATTACTTCTAAATTTAAATATGGTGAAATTAATATTATCTAAATAATAACCTGATATTACTAGCTTGATTTTATTCACAGACCACTTGATAACTCTTGCATACAAATTTTTTGCTACTTTGCAATGTCAGGAGAATGGGATGAATTGCTAATTCGCAAAAAAAAATATGGCACATTGACGGAGTGCGGCCTACATATCCCTATATTTCAGTGTTGTATGGAACTTTCTTGCTTTGATCGGCCGGACAATATGGAGATGATGCACTATTTTTTGGCGCCACACATGGTTTAGTGCATGTAGTGGAATATAAAACTGCCCGCAAAGAAAAAAAAATCTTTGGCGCTGCTTGCAAAGTGCCAGACAATGTTTCAGTGTTCTCCAAAATTGTCACATTGGGAACATCTCCCAATGCCCAATCCGTCAATCGGGAGCGGAGGATATTTCTCATATGCTCTTCAATTTTGTGCAATCGAAGGCAGTGTGGGGTGCACTTGGGATCATACCAGATATTTGTTTTGCTACTCACACTGATAGTTCGGTTGCAGCAGTACTTGAGCTTTTACTGTGCGACGACTCATACCGGAGATCCTATATGGGACCAGTTGATTTCCCGTAGCTAGTAGCCACTGTGTGCTGGTACCTCTGGTGGCAAAGGAGGAAATTTGTCAGAGGTGATGACGTGTAATCACCGGAGTGAACAATGCCTGCTATAATTGCATTGGTTCTTAATTTTGTTCATGCCACGGGGAAAGTGTTGGTTGCTCCAAAATTTAATAAGTCGCCGATGATTCTTGCGGAACAGCAGGTTCTCAACGTCGATGCATCGTTTTCTGTTGGTGACAATACTGGTGCTTGTGGTACAATTGTACGAGATCATCTAGGTCGTTTTATTAAAACTTCTCTGGCAAGGATGGAACACATAGCTGATGTCGTCTCGGCCGAAGCAGCTGCATTGTTTGAGGGATTAAAATTAACACGAAGTATTAGATGCTATAATCTGATGGTGAGAATGGACAATAGTACAATGGTGGACCCTATGAATCTCATTGAAAGACACTCCATGGTAGCAGCGCCGGTGTTAGATGATTGTTGTAGTATTTTGAGTGAATTAGGGAAGGTTACTGTTGAGCATTGTGTAGTGTATATAGTCAAATGCTGTAGTTCATGAACTAGCAAGATGGGGATTTGCGAACAACCCATCTGTTTGGGCGGATGCACCCCTGATTTTCTTGTTCAATTTTTAGCGGATGATGTAATCCTTATTTAGTGTGTCAAAAAAAAAAACTCTTGCATACAAAAAGAACTAAGAAAACATACTATTCATTTGTTAAATTAACTATGAGGACGAACTGTTTCATGGTAGCTATTCAGATGAGACTCGATGGATTGGATGCTCCAGCAAGTCGAGGCTTTCTAGATCACGTTGGCACTGTTTAAATATGCATGTAAAATTACTCGAGGAATTCGTCCAAATGTATGCATGCAATGTACCACACCAGCTAGATCGACAGTGTTATACATATATTTTGTATGGATGAAGCATCCAAGAAATTTAGGAGGTTTGTATATATCCGAAGCAATAATGTACGGTTCAGCCGGTTGCAATCGAATGCCCCCCAAAAGTCGTCCTTCATATATATTGTACTATCTTCAAGCTTAGTTAAAATTTGTGTTACATCATGGCTGGTGGATCGACATGGACGTCTGAACGCACGCCCTGTTTCATATACTAGATGCACAAATTGGATTGTATATATTGACCAATTCCTTGTGCGGTTATAAGTAACTAATTTTGTACTGTATTTTGATTTAACTGCATACCATATGAATGAAAATTACACGATTGTCACTAACCTACAATGTTTGCTCTGATCTGTTCAAACGTACCAGCTCTCCCCCACTTGCCCCAAGCCAATTAGCTCTCTTGACCCCAAAGACGAGGCTTGTTACTAAAATAATCTTGGCATGTTAGCTGCTAATTAAGATTTAAGTTTGGTAGCCCATGCAGCATACCCACTCTTGTGACCATCCATGTTCCTCCCATGTTACTAAGCCAACTTGCAGCTAGCTTAATTTCTTGAGTCGGCTAACCTTCTACTCCCTCTGTTCCATAATATAAGAGCATTTTTTACACAAAACGCTCTTATATTATGGAACGGAGGGAATAAAAACTAAAGTAATATTTCGTACAACAGCTCCATTTATACAAGTAGGTCGACATAAGTTGGCAAGATTCCATACAACTGCTCCTCACATGCATGCATATTTACTTGAAGACTCGATGAAAGCTAATGCATGCACGCCACAGCGAGCTGACAAAACAGATTGGTCTATCCTTGCTCTAAACCAATAATGCGTCCATCTACCCAAAAAAATCGATTGGAAGCAGCTCAAACCAGTTATAGATTTCAAATGTATACACTTCAGTTTTGAGCAATTAAAATTTGAAACCCCTTCTGATTAACAAAGGTATATCTTGGAAGCCAAGCCGGCTGCAGACTGATTAAGTCATCGTTGGTATTTAAAAACAAAGGGCCAGCCTGGTGTGAAACTACATATAACAAGAAACTTCGCACAGATCTGGACAAACTTTGCAGTTGCACATGGAAAGATGCTTCAAAGCCAATCAAACAAGCTAGTACTCCATATATTCATACAAGCGGCAGCAACCTAGCCACAGCCGCACCAAAGAACTTCTGAAAGGAGATAGAAACTGAGTGGGAGAAAAAGAGAGAGGAGAGGAGCCGGCAGGCTAGCAAAAGTGAGAGGGGGAAAGGGTGAGGGTCGAGCATGGAGTTCGCCACGGGGGCGATGAGCTCTCTCCTCCCCAAGCTGGGGGAGCTTCTCAAGGAGGAGTACAAGCTGAAGGAGAGTGTGAAGAAGGGGATAGAAGAACTCGAGGCTGAGCTTGAGAGCATGCAAGCAGCCCTTGTCAAGGTGTCCAGCGTGCCGCTGGATCAACTCGACCGGCAGGTCAAAATTTGGGCTAATGAGGTCAGGGAGTTGTCCTACGCCATCGAGGACAGCCTTGACTCCTTCGTGACGCGTGTTGAGGGTGTTGAGCCAACCAAGACCAAAATCAAGCACTTATTGAAGACGGCCCGCGGTGAGCTCACCAAGTTCAAGGCACGGCATGAAATGGCCAATGACATCAAAAATATCGAGAGCCAAGTTAGGAAGATCAAGGAACGGCGCGACAAGTACAAGATCGATGATGTTGTTGGTAATCTTGCAACAACTACAGTTGATCCTCGTCTCTCATCTCTATACAACAAGGTATCTGACCTTGTTGGTATTGATAAGGCGATTGATGAGCTAGTGAAGGTCTTGTCCGATGGGGTTGAGATGTTTGAAAATAATCTCAAGATAGTCTCCATTGTTGGATTTGGAGGATTGGGAAAGACAACTCTTGCAAAAGCATTGTATGACAAGCTTAGCAAAACATATCAGTGTCAAGGTTTTGTTCCAGTGGGTCAGAATCCAAACACGAAGAAAGTTCTCAGGGACATCCTGCTTGAACTTAACACCGAGCTATACAGAGACGCAGCCACAATGGATGAAAGGAAGTTGATCAACCAGCTGCAAAAGGTCCTTGCAGGCAAAAGGTACGCATTAACCTCCCTGTATGCTAGCCAATAACTCCATTCTGTCACCTATGCCCAGCTACACTAAGGAAGACTATATCAAGTTACCGTTAGTTCTCTTTTCGTTTGCAGGCAAAAGGCAGTTCTATCTTTGCTTTTGATTCATCTAGTCCAATTCTATAAACAACTTACCGTTAGTTCTCTTTTTGTTTTGACACAACGATTTATAATTTACATTTGGCAAACACACTGAATAAAACACAGGGCCAAAACAAAAGGAATACACCCAGAGCACACACACGTTTTATCCTTGGTCCCCAACTTGTGCACATGTCGCCTCTCAGTTAATCATGTGTATTGGGAAGCTATGTCACTACTAGAATCTAGTTTTGACCCGAGTTTCAATACTTCGCCGATTTCATTCTATCGGGAACTCGGCGAAATTCTGTCTGCCGAGTTTGATTCAAAGTTGGACTCGACAGTGATAAGCTAACGGCAGAGCTCTGGTTTTGCCTGGTTCTAATTGAAAATGACTTGGCAAACAAAAAAACTCAGCAGAATATCAAGTTCGCCGAGTTCCTGACGGAAAGAACTCGGCAAAGTCTGACAGGTAGGTCATGCTATGCAGTAGGCAGCGGAGCTGTGACAGCAGCCTTTGTTTGCCGAGTTTCGTCTAACGGATACTCCGTAAAAAAAATCTCTTTTTCATTTTTTTAAACAGATATTCTAGGGGTCCCTTAGTTGACACTGGGTAATATTGATGTGCCACGCGACGGGCCCTAATTGGATATAGGACCGCGGAGTTTGGAACCTGGCAAAAAAAATGCCTAGTTCCATTGAAAAAATAACTTGGCTGGTATTTTGTAATGGGCAATGTGTGCTGGCACGTGGATTATTTCAATTGGTGTTGCTTTGCTGAGTATATCTGCACAAAACTCGGCGAAGAATTGGGCCATGTGGCACTGCCGTTAATGGCCCGTCCCGTCTGACGGTGTGGTTCGCCGACTTTTTTCTTGGAGGAACTCAACAAACATTGTTTAAATATTCAACTGAGTTCGCGATAGAATGAACTCGGCAGCATTAATGATTTTCCGGCCCCGTCCACTTGAGTGCGTTACGGCGAGCGTGGCACTCGGCGAAGATCGCCAAGTTTAATATGTGCTCTGCAGTTTCTTTGAAACTCGGCAAAATTGATGATTCTAGTAGTGTGTTTGAATTTTTGAATTGTTCCTGAAAACATTTCTGCAGGTATTGGCTGCATAATCCTTGTATACCTCGTATGCTAAGCTATCAATACAAACCTCTAGAAAATCAAATTAATGTAGCCATTAGAACATACGTGGCACCTCTTTTATTTGGCTGAGTTCGAGATTAATACAAACAGTCACATTAAGTGATTGGTTACACGGATTAGTTAGGCTGTCCACTATCTCTAGTTTAGTTAGGCCGTCAACTATCTCTAGTTTAGCTACAAATAATACCCATTCAATTATCCGGAATATAACCATGTGAAAAATGATAGAGGAAGATTCAAGTAAATAGCTTAAAACTACCACAACTTGAGCTAATGTTTGAAAAAATCCACAATATTTAAAAATTTCCGAAAACCACTCACAAAGATGGTTGGTTGTTTCAATAAAACTACCATGTTACACTGATGAATATGTTAGTTAGCTTTAAGCCTTATTATGACAGCTCGGGTCTGACGTAGCATAAAAGTCAACACCCTTAACTTTGAGCATTATATTGACCGTTGACAGCTAATGACAGATAGGGCCCAAATATTTTTTAAAGCAATCGGGTCCCTACAATTTCTTTTTCAAAAGCAACCAGGTCATGCAAATCCTACAGTCGTGGAGTACGGTCACGCATAGCCCGCCGCTGGTGAGCTCATCACCAGAGCCGACCAAGGGCACTTGTGGGCGTCATCCTGCCCGGCCCCGCGGCGTCAGTCTTGTTCAGCCCTTGTCGGCAAGCTCATCCCTGCCATGGTTGACCACGAGCTCGAACCGGAAGGGAGCACGGGCGGCTTGGGTCCATGGTGAGGTGGAGCTGCATTACTTGGAGGGCACTAGCGAGCAGCTCGTCGTCCAACAAATAGCACCGGGGCACCAACTCCCTATTGGCTGCGGACATGCCATGCCTTACTGGTTCGCTCCAGCCGTGCCATAGCCAGAATATTTGTACGCTTCGGGCCATCCTCACTGCTACAGTGTGCACTATAGCTACAGTGTGCGAGTCAACGAAGGTTTTTCCCTCCACGCCACAGGTGACAGGCCACGGCCTGGCTACGCCCTTGGATCCAGCAGCTGCCCGAGGTGGTGGTGGGAGAGGCGCACTCGGATGGCTTCACAATCAAGGTCCCACCACTGCAGCATGGTCCATGGTGAGGATCTGGTGGCCGCGTCGGAGAAGAGAGGATGGAGGGCACTAGCGAGGATCACGTCCATGTCCAGCACTAGGTCGTCCGCATCGGAGCACCAACACTAGCAATGAGCTCACTCAGGTTGGAGCCCCAGCTCATCGGAGCACTACTCAAAAGTTGCCTGAGGTGGTGGCTCAAGGTGGTGGCTCTTGGGCTCTGATAGCTTCGTTGCTCGTCTCAGGCAAGGGATGGTGGTGGACAGATATGGGGGAGAAGAGATGGGACGGCACCCTAGTCCAACTTAACATGTTGAATTTAGTTGCCACCTGGCCTTGATGACTGGGTCCAAAACATGTCATAATCATGCTTAACTTTAACCAAGTATAAACAATAAGTGTTTTTTTAGAGGGCCAACCATCTTTGTGGTAGCTTTTTCAAAAAAATATATATTAAAAAGTAGTAGTTTTTTGGAACCCCAACCTGAACTGTGGTGGTTTTATGCTATTTACTCATCAAGACTCTCTACATCACATGAACACTTCTAAAGTTGAGATGTATTTTATCTTATCTTTTTCATGACATGTTTGGTTGGGTGCACTGTTGTGCTTCTTGTTCTGCCGGGTACTATATTCGATAGTTTGCTAATTAAACATTTTTCTTCTCGTGTGAATAGGTACTTTATTGTTATTGATGACATCTGGGATACACAAACATGGGAAACAATTAAGTGTGCTTTCGTGGATAGTCATCCGAAAAGTAGATTAATCATAACTACCCGTATTGTTGATGTTGCCACGAAAGCTGTGGTATCTACCACATGCAACCACTTTCTGAAGATTACTCCAAAATGTTATTCTATACAAGAACATCTGGTAGTGAAGGACCTGCTGAAGTGACTACAATAATTTTAAAGAAATGTGGTGGCGTGCCATTAGCTATCACTACAATAGCTAGCTTGCTTGTTGCTAAACACAGGAAGGACTGGTCTAAGGTATATGATGCCATAGGTTTTGGGCATGAAGAGAATGATGATGTTCGTAACACAAGAAAGATATTATCTTTTAGTTATTATGATCTATCTTCCAATCTAAAGACATGTTTATTGTATCTTAGTGTGTTTCCTGAAGATTGTTTAATTGATAAAATATCACTGATATGGAGGTGGGTTGCCGAAGGATTTATACCATATCGAGAAGGGATGGAGTCATTTGAACTTGGAGAGATCTATTTCAACAAGCTTGTAAACAAGAGCATGATACGGTGGATAGATCCTGAAGATAATGATTTCTGAGGTGGTTGTCGTGTCCATGACATGGTGCTCGATCTCATCCGCACCATATCAAATGATGTAAATTTTGTTACAATACATGATATGGAGCAGCATGGCACATGTTCACGAGGAAAACGAACCCACTGGGTTCGCAAATTAGCAGTTCATGGAAGTGGGGAACACAGCGCTAGCATTGCAATGGAGCATGTAAGGTCATTTAGTGTTGTCGAGTGCAGTGCCAATAGTATGCCCCTGCTTTTTTAGCTTTAAAGTACTGCGTGTGCTAGTTATTGAGGACTGTGTTTTCCCCGAAGGTAGCTGTCTTGAGCATCTCGGTAAGTTGGTGCAGCTGAGGTACCTGGGAGTAGTGAAGACAATGGTCAAGATCCCGGAAGGAATAGGACATGAGCTGAAGTTTCTTGAGATACTGGATGTAAGGGCAGGTTTGATAAGTGAGTTGCCGCCATCTGTTGGTGAGCTAATGAATTTGAGGTGCTTGTGGGCTGATGAAGGTACAGTGATGAAGGGCGAGATAGGAAAGCTGACGTGCCTTGAAGAGCTGGAGCTATATTCGGTGGAGAAGTGCCCAAACTTCTCCACAGACGTGGGGAAGCTGACAAAGTTAAGGGTGCTCAAGATCTTTTTCGGTGATATAGAGGAGTCTGCAGGCAAGGCTCTGATGGAATCCCTGTGCAACCTGCACAACATCCATAGTCTGACAGTCGTGAATGATGGTGATGATCTCAAGTATTCGGTTGTCTTCAATCATAGTTTGGAAGACTTAGAACCCTGTACAAAGCTGTACGAGGTAAATATGATTAGCATAGCTATACCGAGGGTGCCATCATGGATCAATCATTTAAGTACTCCACTCCTTTATCAGCTATGGTTGCGTGTGGATGCGGTAGAAGCTCGGGATGTTCAAACCATCGGCAGGTTGCCGTCTCTCCTCTTCCTTGTTCTCTGGAGTAAGGATGAAAAGAACATATCATATACTTTTAGCAGCAATGAGTTTCACAAGCTGAGATGGTTGTTCACGAAGAAGATAGAGATCGCTGTTGGAGAAGGAGCATTGCCGATGCTTGAAGGGTTGGGATACAGTGCAAGCGCTGAAAGAAAGGACGCTGCCAGCTTCGTGCCCTGGAGAAGAAATAGCTGCCCTTTGCTGAAGAAAGTCACCTGTTGTCTTGACTGCACTAACAGCAGCTACAGGGAAGTAGAGCAAACAAAGGAAGCGCTGAGACAGGCTGCTACAACCCATCCCAATGCTGAGGATCTCGATGTCAACGTAGAAGAAGAAAACTACGATGAGGCGGCAGGTAGACTCATTGATAATCTCGAGTGGATCCTACGTGATTTGGATGTGGGCCGTCCTGCTGCATACCAGGAAGAAAGGACACGTCGCATGATTAGATCACTGGAGAGAAGATTACGTGATGCTGCGGAGCCTCGAGTTGGGAGGTATGGTGAACAAGAGATACGTGACCTTGTTACCAAATTCAAGAGTTGGATACGTGACCTTGGGAGGTACGGTGAACAAGAGATACGTGATCATGCAGGTACCGACCTGGTTGAGGTACGTACATACCACTGTCCATCGTATCGATCGATCGATCTCTGTATTTATACATGTGTACATATCATGTCGCTGATGGCCGGTTGTCTGGTTTATGTCTAATTGATCTCCAGGCGGGCAAGAGTGCTGTCACAGATATAGAGGACAATGACGATGAAGATTATTATTACGACGACGACGATGCTATCGACCAAGCAGAGGTATGTGCGTACACAGTATTCCATCATGTTGATTCACACGCTACAAACCACATATCATGTTACTGATGACTGATTGGCCGGCTGGCTTATGCGTAATTAATCTCCAGGCAGACGACGGTGAAGCCACCTGCAGTGGGGATCAGCAGGAGGAGGAGGGTGGCAGCCAACCATGAATCTCTTCCTTCGGTCATTCCAAGTATCTCAATATGGTAATAAACCATGTCTCTCATTTTCTCCCACTTGCATCCACATACGCCCACTTCTTTATATTGGCATCTGGCGGGATGCCACACAACTAATTACTCTTCTCATTTCGAATTTTAACAAATTAATACTGATAATTTTTCTAAGAAACTCTCCAATGTAATTTTGATTTTGCAAGCAAAATTTCTTTGGAGATTCGAAATCAACAAATTAAGAAATACATAGCAATCCATTTGTGCAGTTTCACCTTTTTAATTAGGAATCCACCCATAAACTTTCTGCTTACAGGATGGTGGCCATCTTGAAGGCTTCTATGGACTTACTGTCGCCACTTGGAAGACATCAGCTTATTTCGTCAATCGGTGCGAAGAAAATCACAAAAGAAAATAGGTTTCTCCTTTAGCATTAGACTGGGTTGTAAAAGAAAAGGATTGAAAAAAGTATTCGAAAACACGAAAAATAAAAAATGTTTATTTTATTTAGAGATAGTGCTT